GTTGGTCTTGGCCCGTTGATCCAGCCTGTCCATATTGCTTTATAGAGCCTTCCTCCCCTCAAGCAGATCAACACTCTTGTCCAACTTGGTGTCATCTGCCAACTTACTGAGGGGGCACTTGATCCCCTCATCCAGATCATTAATAAATTATTTTTTTTTTTTGTCAAGATAATAATAATAATAATGGAATTCCTTCATAGAATGGAAGAAGCATCTGTGCAGCTACACTTGTTTCTGATTTGGTGCTGCAGTTGTATTGCTCTAGTTTACATGGGAGTCAAATTAAAGTACACAACTCACTGCTGAGAATGAGCACCCCTACAGAAGGTAGAGAGGTAGTATTTGTTCCTCATGTGTGAAAGAGGAAATTCAACTTTTGGGCCAAGTGTATAAACTATCATATATGATCTCTGAGTTAATTTCAACAGTATAACCATAAAAATCACACACTACTCAAGGAGAAGGAGGTTTCATGGATCAAATATGTATCTTGGAGAGTGACAGAGGGCCTTGGGCGATGGGAGGGATCAGTGAAACAGAATGCATGTCATCTTTTTGTGGGAACATAAGATTTGTTGCAGTAATTGAAACAATGCTTTTATCTAGTCCAATATTCTCTTTCCAACAACTGCTGAGACTTTAGAGAAAGATAGGCTGAAACCTTCCAACAGATAAATACTAGATAATTGGTCTTAATATGTTGTCTGTCCCTGGTAGCAAGAAACAACTTATGCTTTTAAATCTTCGTTCTGGTACAGTTGCATCTATTTTTCACCCTGAACTGTTGTAGTTCCAGATATTTTTGTTGTAATTACAAATATCCAATCTCTATTTTTATAATTTCATTCTTTTTCTTAACAAAATTTTATGGCAATTTACAATCAAAGTAATCAGAAATATGCTTTATTTTATTGCTTTTGGATTTGACAATTTCAATTTTTTCAATTTTTCTTGAAGGTCTCCTAGAACTAGTATTAGGGGATGAATAGGAGAAATTCTGCTGTTGGATTTTTTGTGTGTGTATAAATATGTATATGTGTATATATGTATTATTTTGGAAACTTTTATCATGTTCTCTCTTGTATTGATGCTGTCTAACACAAAAGATAAATGAAGGACCATAAGTAAACCACCCCCCTTCCCCATGCCCCAGTGTTTTCGAAGTTGTGGGAAAGTTTTTATGTCTGCCTGTCTTTTTGTCCCTTTCTGGGACAGGAAAGGAAATGAAATCGGAAGGGGTAATCTCCAACCCACATACTGAAGGCAGAAAAGAATGAAGACTTCTTTGGGCCTAGGGTGTGATTGCTTGAAGGACATTATTCTTTAGCCAGTATTTTGTCCATTCAGCTTGGAGAGAAAATGTGTTCCTCCAAACCTTACTTTAAGTTTGTTAAATAATATAATTTAACAGAAAAGTATACCAGTAATTCATATTCTTTATTTTGCAGCTAAATAAGTTGCAAGATCTTCATCCTTTGCCTAAGATAATTTTAGAATACCGTCAGGTGAGCTGATATTTTTCACATAATGTAGTTGCACTGAAGCAAAATTAGCAAGAAGGATAACATATTCACAGATAAATAAATAAAAGTTGGTTCTAATGTAAGTTCATTCAAATATTCATTTAAATTTTGAAGTTGTAGGTATTCTTAAGAGTTTTTAAATTTAGTGTTTATGTTTCTGTTTTGCATTATGTTGGATTATAGCTAGAAAACATCCTTGTTGCAAAAACAATTGGAAAACTTCACTGTTAAATTTATCTAGTGCTATAAAGCACACTTTTAGGGTAAAACATTTATCTTTTGAGTTCTGAAGAAATACTCTGCAGAAAGTGAAGGAGATAACTAGTTATGGTTTTTTTTTAGGTGACGAGCCTCCTGAAAATCCAAAATGACCTAGTTAGTCAGCTCTCACATTTAATGTTTGGGTTTTCAGTGGATGTGTTTCCAAGATTTAGTAAAAATAAAAAAAAGTGGTGTTGTGTTGGTGTTGAGGGTTTTTTTGTGTGTGGGGCTTTTTTGTGTAGTTTATTGACCTGGAGATATAAGATGTTAAGGAATAAATTCCAATAGTTCATTTACTAGTATCTACGAAGACCTGGCTTTAGGGTATAACCAAGCACTTACCTAACTTATGCTAATAGGTCAAGCTATTAATGAGTATACATCCATTATGTACTAAGATAAAACTCTTTTAAAAAAAGTTTACAAAACAAGTTAGTATGCATTTGGAAATTAAGATCTGTAATTTGAAAAATCTCTTATTTTTATAAATAAACATTTATCTAAACTTTTCTGTAATTTAGGTTCATAAGATGAAATCGACTTATGTGGATGGACTACGAACATGCATGAGAAAGGTAGAAATATAAAAAGTAGCTTGTAAAATATGGTATTTCAAATAAATCATAAAAGGATGTGAGCTGATTGCAGTGTTCACAGTTTAAGAACTTTTATATATGGAATATTATAAAGTATTTCTCTTTGATTTTGTAGTCCTGATTGCAATGAGTATTTATTTCTGATACATTAAATAAAATTTAGATGTATGTCTTCTTCCTTTTCTTTTGTGGGTTCTTTACTTTACTTGACTACAGGGATTTATTTCCTCTATATGGAATCAGACAGGAACTGTGAGTGGCAGACTCTCAGCCAAACATCCAGTAAGTGAGCCTAATAGAAGATTTACAGTTTAATTAGAATTAAGATTATTTATAGAAAATATGTAATATTTTAAACGCATAAAATGTTTGTTTTCATCTAAGTCTAGTAGTTGCCATATTGTATGTAAATGGTGGACACAAAAATCTTATTAAATGGATGTTTTACTGTAGAATATTTATTCTTATGAATATTTTCTGCTCTCTGTGGATCAAAATTTAATATCTTACCTAAAGTTTATCTGAAGTAGAGGGGTGGAATTGTAAGCCATGCATGCACTCTCTAGACTTCCACTGAATACTTCTGTGTAATGAATTCCTGGTGCTCATGAATCACTCCGTGTAAAGGATCAGAGAGGCCTGGGAGGTGCCCTGGGGATTACGGGAAAAAAAGGAAGCTCTTCTCTTCTAAAATCTGGCTTCAGGCCTCATAGCAGCAAAAGGGCTAAACTGGCTGTGCTGTGGGTCTGGAAGGCTTGCCAGATGCTTATATGGCTGTGACACTTGCTCTCTTTGTGTTTTCTCTCTTGTCTTTGGCTATAATGATCTCCATGTACATGCTTGTGGCTGGAATGTGTTTTATTTGACTTTCTGGACTGCTAGAGGCTTGGGGATTTTTTGCCAAAGTGGCCTTTTCAAGGGCATCTTTTACCATTTTCTTTGGAGTTTAGGAAGCATACAGACCTTTGGCTGTAGGGACTGGTGAGGCCTTTTGCGTTCCACTTCTGTCGCAGCCCATAGCTGCGTGGATGAGTGTGCAGGACCTGGTGTGGGAGGAGGCAGCATTGCAAACTGCTTCAGGGGCTCAAGTCAAGGCATAGGCAGGAGAATAGCAGTAGAAAAGTAGTGACTACCTACCTGCAGAAATGTTCTGTTTGGTTTAATCATGCCCTTTCTTAGCAAAGACCTGACCTCTGGCTCTGTGGGAGAGGGGGAATAGATGCAGAAGTGGGACTTGGCTCATGAAGGCTACAGGGAATCCGTGAGGCTGTTGTCCTTTTAACTTGTGCCCAAAAGTATTATCAGTTCTTATTCATGCAAGTTTGGGTACTGCTTATCTCTCTATGCAGATACTAGCCTTAGGCTTCATGGGTGCAAATGGCATTAGAAGCTTTCTGCAATCTTGGGAGAAAGGCCATGGTCTTCCACAGCTGTATCTAGGAGTAGAGATGTTAGACATATCAGTTATGTTGTTGCCACTTTGCATGGGCGGACTCTTGTGGCTCTTTGCAAGTCCTGACTGATAAGGTGTTGAGTTTGAGTTGGAGTTCTGGCAGAAACCTGTCCTAGGAGGTTGTCGTCCTCACAATACTGATGACTTCCTTAGCTCTTCTTTTACCTGTCTTCACAGTTCAGGTTTCATTTATATCTTCCTACCCTCATGGTACGTATTTCCATACAATTTCTCATCAATTTATAGGAAGCGCTTGTGCTTTTTGCTGAGTAAAGAACAGTCTCTAGGATTCTGAATTAACAATGGAATGGAGGAGTGTTACTGCTCCTCCCTCTTCTCACGTGCCCAGATGGGGGAAAGTGATGGGAGAGAATGGAAAAGATGATCATGAAGGTCACAGTTTGCTAAATATTCTGATGTGATGCACAGGCATTTACAAGTCAGAGCTGAACAGGCAGCTGTCTTGAACAATCATATACACACAAGGTGACCTTTGGCCTATCATGCTAAAAATGACACTAAATCTACTTTTCTTAAAGATTGTTTTTCTCCAAAAGAATACTGCTAAAGCTAGCACTCAGGGTTGCCTAAGGCTGGCTTTTCCTTATAAGGAAAAACATTAGCATGGCTTTTTTTGTGTGAAATGTTTATGGAACTGACACCATCTGTTTCTGAATCATTTACTGATATAGAAGATATATTGCAGTGCCCAGTCACTTTACTAAGTGTTAAAGGATTGGGAAGATTCTTGCCAGAAATCATAAATATTGTAGATATTTTTGCAGTTACTATGATGTTATGTCAAATTTTAGCTGAATATTTGCTGAGGTAGTTTATTTTTAACTGTGTTTTAAAATGCTTTGAGGAGTGATTAAAGCAAAAGATAAGTGTAAATCAGATAAAATGAAAATTCAAATAGAAAAAACATCCTATTTGCTGCAGTGGTTGTGGGAGATGGGGTTCTAAACTAAGATTTCTTTATCTTTTGTTTGTTTTGTAAAGGTAATGGATCTATCTGTCCTCTTTCCTTTAAGGCATTAAATGGAGTCCAGGAGGGATTTACTCATAGGTTCAAGGGAAAATGACCAGACGTTAGGTACAGAGCAGGATTTCTTTTTCAGATTAAGTTCTTCTGTGATCTTCTTTCAGACAAATCCACATCTGATGTATGGATGATGTACATTTTTGGCTTTATGTGGGTTTCTCTCAATAAATAAGCTTATTCACATGAGTTTTTATGAATTCTGTGTTGTGGCAACCTGGAGGGGGTTTCTTGGTAGAACTTTACTTCAGTGTCTCTCCATGTATACATCTATTTTAGTTTAACTGTGCACTCCATTTCTACTTATTTGGTTTCTTCTTCAATATGTGTGCTGCATAATTAATGCATTTTTCACAAATGAGTGAAGTGCTATATAATAATATAGTACCTCGTTAGATATGGACACATTTGATATTGTAGTCTTCTGCTATAGTATTATAACTGTCTATTTGCTACTCCATGAGAACCTGAGTATCTGAAACCTAAAATTAAATATAAACCCTAAAACTCTTCAGTCAAATTATTTTGTAATATATCCATAGGCTAGTTATTTTTTCCACCCTATGATGGATTGCTTATGACTATTAGGAGTAGTTAATTAGGTTTATTATTTGAATATGTTATTTTTAATTAATTTTTATATAAATACATTACTCTTGTCTGTGTTAGGATACTCCTTTATTATATTGCTCATAGATAACATTCCTATTAAATATATTTATTATATTCATAAAGACTTGTTTATGTTCTCCAAACCTACTTTGAAATACCACTTTCCAGCCTCTCACCTTTTAAAGCAAAAATAAATCATGATAGAGGTGGAAAAGCATAAAGCCAATTAAGATCAAACCTCTTTCAGAATGAACAGAGAGAAATCCTAACTTGAGATATAAAGATTGCATATAATTGGATGTTATAATTTGGTTTAAGATGTAAACTTCAGTGCTAGAATCAGATATTCTGTATTAAAGTTTCTTTCCTCCAGGCTTCTGCAGCAGAGAGAACTGAAAAGCTACTAATGAGTTTACACTTCTATACTTCAGAAGATGTTTGTATCATTAAACTAAAAAGCTGTGGGCTTTTAGTAGTGGGCTTCAGGGGGCATTTCTTTCCTTTTAGTAATAAAAAGTTATGCTGAAGATAAATAAAATATTTTATGCTCTCAAACTAAATGGAAAAAAAATAAAAGCATTCCTATTTCTCCCCAGGAAAAGTGCTTTTACCAGCTTGTCCAAAAAGGCATAAAAATAATATAACCTGTCGATCAAAGAAGCATATTAGCCTTTAATTTGGAAAGCTGGGATGTAATTTGAAAGAGGAACTAATTAGGGTATGTCAAATGTTAATGTGCTCAAATAAGGACCATAAAAACCTGAAATATTGAATATACCTCAGTCTCTCCAACAGATATAAGTAATATTTTCTGATAGTGAACGCATGATTGCATGCTTGTTTATTAGGAAATGTGTGCTACTAATAGTGTTTGGAATATGAATAATAAATTACCCATCTGGTTTTCACAGAATCACAGAATGGTCAGGGTTGGAAAGGACTTCTGGAGAGGTCCAACCCCCCTCCCAAAGTAGGTTCACCTACAGCAAGTTGCACAGGATCATGTCCAGATGGGTTTTGAATATCTCCAGTGAAGGAGACTCCATAACCTCTCTGCGCAGGCTGTTCCAGTGCTCTGCCACCCTCAGTGTAGAACTTCCTCATATTCAAGTGAAACTTCCTGTGTTTCAGTTTGTGCCCATTGCCCCTTAACCTGTTGCTGGGCACCACTGAAAAAAGTCTGGCTCCATCCTCTTGACACCCACACTTAAGGTATTTATAAGCATTGATCAGATCCCCTCTCAGTCTTCTCTTCTCCAGGCTGAACAGACCCAACTCTCTCAGCCTTTCCTCATAAGGGAGACACTCCAGTCCCCTCAACATGTTTGTTGCTCTCCGCTGGACTCTCTCCAGTAGTTCTTTGTCTTTATTGAACTGGGGAGCCCAGAACTGGACACAGTACTTGAGATGTGGCCTCACCAGAGCAGAGGGGGAGGATAACCTCCCTCGACTTGCTGGCCACACTCTTCTTAATGCACACCAAGATGCCATTGGCCTTCTTGGCCATGAGAGCACGTTGCTGGCTCATGGTCAACTTGTTGTCCACCAGGACTCCCAGGTCCTTCTCCACCAGGCTGCTCTCCAGCAGGTCAACCCCCAGCCTGTACTAGTGCATGGGGTTATTCCTCCCTATTTTTATTTTTTTATTCCTTGCTATTTTTCCTATTTTCATTCTAATGGGAGAGACAACCTCTTGAAGTAGAGACCCCTCTGAGCTATTGCCGTCAACAATGAGTCTGTTCTGTCAATTAACTTAGGAAACCATTTTTTTCTGATTATCCGCACTTTATCTGTATTACGGCCCTTCTGTGCTGTCTTCTAGTGTGAATGGACTAATTATCTCTGAGATAAAACCCAAATATAGTTTTGGAATAGTTTTGGGATCATTTATGGACAGTGTGGAGAAGATGCTGCCTGTTTGTCTCCGTTTCATAACACTATCCTGATTGGGTGTACATCCTCAGCATACCCATATGCGCACACTAAGCAAGGTGGAATCAAAACTATTGTGACAGCTCTCAATTTCAGGCATTTTGTCCCAGGCCTCGTTAAGGCTACAGACTGATCTGTGATAGTACCAAACACTTTCTGAAGCTTATAGTCTATAGTCACAATTGGATTCCAGCACAAACAGGATGTTCTACAAGGTATTTCAATAGTGGTGAGCTGCTGTAC